TTATCTCTCTTAGATTTTCTTCAATTTCTTTTTAATTCTTTTTTCTGGTCTGCCTGTGTTAATTCAAACAGCCTGTCTTCAAGGTCAGAAATTGTCTTCTGCTTGCTCTAGCCTGCTGGTTAGACTCTCTATTGTGTTTTTTTATTTCATTGAATGAATCCTTCAGTTCCACAAGCTCTGCTACATTCTTTTTCAAGGCATTGATTTCTTTGTACATTTCTTCTTTTATATCCTGTATATTTTCTCTCATTTCATTGTGTTGTCTAAGTGAGTTTTCTTGTATCTCATCTAGTTTCCTTAGAATTGTTGCTCTAAATTCCTTGTCAGTCATTTCAAAGACTTCCTGTTCTATAGGATTTAAAGCTTGAGAGTTATTATTTTCCTTTGGTGGTGATGTACTTTCTTGATTTTTCATATTTCTGGTATCTTTCCTTTGGTGTTTTGTCATGTGGCAGGGGGTATCACAGTCCACTCGTTTCACCTGGATGTCTGGCTTGGATCCTGAAGGGACTGCCCATTCTGGGCAGCAGCAACTACCCTATTCTGGCACAGCTGACTCAGGGTGTGTGGGTCCGGTGGCTCTCAGGCATCTCTGGGTAGCAGGGACTGATGTGGGCTGGGGATCCTGCAGCACCTGCCTGTTCTAGAGCAGCTGACTTGGGGTGTGTGGGCCCGGCAGCTCTCAGGTCTCTCTTTACAGCAGGGTCCCACATCATCTGCTTCTTCTGGCACTGCTGACTCAGGGTGCGGGGACCCGGTGCCTCTTGGCCCTCTCTTGGTGCCTCTTGGTGCAGTGGGGACTGGCCTGGACTGGGGTCCTGTGTCACCTGCCTCTTCCCATGCAGATGACTTGGGGCATGTGAGCCCAGCAGCTCTCAGGCCTCTCTAAGCAGCAGGGACTGACCTGGTCTGGAGCTCCTGTGGTGCCTGTCTTTTCCAGCACAACTGACTTGGAGTGTGTGCGCCTGACAGCTCTTAAGCTTCTCTAAGTAGCAGGGACCATCCTGGGCTGGAGGTCCCATGGCACCTGCCTTTTCTGGCATGGCTGACTTGGGATGTGTGTATCCTGCAGATCTCAGGCTTCTCTGGGTGGTGGGGACTGTCCTGGGCTGGGGTTGTGTAGCTCCTGCCTGTTCCAGCACAGATCTTGGGCCTCCTGCTGTTGCTTTTTAATAGTGCAAATTGGTTGATTTTGGGGAGAGAGTGACACTAGGATCCATCTACTCCTCCATCTTCACCAGAATTCTGTCTCCAGAAATTTTTAAATTTTGTTTTTGATTTCTTCTTTGACCCATTTGTTTTTTAGAAGCAACCTGTTTAATTTTCACATATTTGTACAGTTTCAAATGTCCCTTCTGTTACCGATTTATGGTTTATTCTGTTGTGGTCCAACAAGATAGCTGATATGATTCCAATTTTTAAAAATTTGTTGAGACTTGATATTATGACCTAATATATGATCTGTTCTACAGGATATCCCACGTGCTGCTGAGAAGAATGTGAATTCTGCAGTTGTCTGAATGTTCAATAAATATGTTAGGTCCAATGAGCCTAGAGTGTAGATTAACTCTGATGTTTCTGGGTGAATTTTCTGTCTGGATGATCTGCTTGAAGTGGGGTATTTATGTGCCCAACTGTCGTATTGTCAGAGTCTGTATCTTCTATTAGGTCTAAAAGTATTTGCTTTATATATCTGGGTGCTTGGGTTTTGGGTATATATATATTTAGAATTACTACATCCTCTTGTTGAATTGATCCCTTTACTGTTACATGATGACATTCCTTGTCTTTACTTTCCTTGACTTGAGGTCTATTTTATCTGATATAAGTAGAGCTACCCCTTCTCTGTTCTTTTTTCCATATGGATGAAATATCTTTTTCCATCCCTTCACTTTCAGTTGATGTGTCTTTATAGGTGAAGAAGTAAGTTTCCTGTAGGCAGCATATTGTTGGTTTTATAATCCATTCAGCCACTCTGTGTCTTTTAATTGGGGAATTTAATCTGTATACATTTAGAGTTATTACTGGTATACAGAAACTTGTTATTGCCATTTTGTTAATTTTTCCTTTATTTTTTTGACCTTTTTTTTTTTTCATTTTTCTTGTCTTAATGTCTCCTTTTGTTACTAAGTGGTTTTCTGTAGTAGTACATTTTGATTTCTTACTATTTATTTTTCTTATAGGTTTTTGTGTTATATTTACCATGGCTCTTACAAAGGATATGTTATAGTTAGATGATTTTAGACTAATAACAACCTAATTTTGAATGCTAAGGAAAAAGAAATAACTAAAGCCAACTCTATATTTTGATGTCATTCCCCACCTCCCTCCCTCACATTTTGTTGCTTCAAGTTACATCTTTTAATATTGCCCATCTCTCATATAGTCATTGTATTTGTTACTATCTTGTTAGGTTTGTCCTTTAGTCTGGCCCAGGACTGAGTCTTTCCCACAAACTACTTCCCCTAAAGTTCTGTTGCTCTGACTGCTGTCCACTGTGTGGCATCCCTCCTGATCAAGAGGCAGATCGGCTGCCAGCATCGTGCCTCAGTGCTCTCCTCGTGGGTCAGTCCACCTCCCACCCCCTGTACTCCAAACGTTTCCCGTGGGGCAAACCCCAGAAAAGTCCACCAAAAAGACTCACAGACCTCTGTGCAAATCAGACACCCACCTCTTACTCTCTTCTCTCATGTCTGAGACAGCAGGTCCAGTGGGCCCTCTCAGTATAATGTGCTATGATGGTCATGAAGGTGGGAGATGGGACTTTCTGAAGTGATTCCTTCCTCCTGTTTGCCATGGCCCCTCCCTCTATGTGGGTGCAGGGGAAGCTTTGGGGTAGCTTTGCTGGCTGGGAAATGGGATGGGGCACTTCAAAATGATATTTTTATTTTGCCAGTCATCGTGGCATCCTTCTCCTCTGCAGACTTCAAGTAGCTTCATGCAAAAGGTGTTGCTGTGGCTTTGTCAACTCCAGGTAGCTGCTCTGTGTGCTGTGCCACACTAGCCCAGGAAGTGATTGGGACTGGGGCTGACTGGAGTGATCCCTCCTTCCACTTGCCATTACCTTCCACACCTTCATGGACTCAGAGGCTGTCTCTCCTCCTTTCCCCAGCCACCCCCTCCCCCGCCTCCCTCCCTGAGCTCCAGTGGTTTCAGGATGGCAGTTTTTGTGTTTTAATAGTTGGAAGTTGATCTCTTGTTGTGGGAGAGTGATGTCAGCAATCATCTGTTTTACATATATGTGGGATATATATTTATACCCCACATATATGTAAAATGAGACACAAGCTTATTAGGAGAGACAGAAAACAGTAATATTTTATTAGCTTATAATTTATTTATTTCAAAGTGTCTGGCTATTATTAACTTGATCTAATTCATATCATCTTGTTCCATCAATACTGATACAGTACTCTTTCTAGAAAAAATTGAAATCCATAGGAAGAAACCATTTTTAATTCTGAACTCACAGTTAAATGTGTTTAATTTTATCCAGCATTAGCATGTAACTCTTGAAGTGATACTTGTCTGGCCATCATTAAAACATATGGATAAAAAGGTCCTTTAGACCATTTTATTTAGATAAAATAATTGTAAAAATCTGGTATTCCAAAAACTTACTCCTGAATAGACTGAAATTACCATAGTCAGTACTATCTAATTATACAAAAACTGGCTTTGAATAATAAAAGAAAAGAATGTAACAGGAAGAATGATGGCACTGATTCCACCTGCAATCCTGAGATGCAACTTAAGAGTAAGGCAGTAACACATTCTCTTCAAAGAAGGTAAAGAATACTGATGCCTTCTTAATGTCAGCACTTTCACCTTCACAGCTGGAAAACTGAAAAATATTTCAAAAGTGCTAAGTTTCTCAAAACTGTATTATTTCTTTACAAATTTATATAAATAAGAGGATATTAGTTTCTCAGCTAATATTCTTTTAAATTGCAGGAGATTTAACCAAAGAGCACTAATTATAGGCTAACTTATTCTGATACCCAGAGGCATTTTTGAAATACAATCCAGAACCTGAAAATGTTTCTATTTTTTCTTCTCTATTTCTCTGTCTCCTTTTGCCTTCACTTGACACATTCCGGGCCACAGTCCACCATAAGATGGAACTGCATTATATTTTATTACTTGTTGGATTTCTTGTAAATAGACATAAAGTCACAGAATCTGTTACAAAGTAATCCAGTGGCCACCTGATCAACATTTGGATTCAATCAGCAGCATTCTCAAAAACTCGTGTGGTCTTTGCTTTAAATCTCTCTTATATATAAAACTTACTCCTCACAGCATAGTTCATTCTATCTTTAGATCACTCTGTTAGAAAGTTACCACTTATATACTGCGACCAAAATGAGCCTTCTTTTATCTTTCACTTATGGCTTTCATTTTTATCTCTAGAACAAACCAGGGCAAATGAAACAAAGCAAAACAAAACCAAACAAATTCTAATTATCTTCATCTATCTGAAGAACTGTACCCTAACAAAGCTGTGGTCCCATTGCAGAGTTCTCTGTTTAAGCCAAATCCTTATTTCCAAATGTGTTACTGTCTTGGTCTCCGCTCCTCTAATTATGACTCCCAACTTAAACAAAACATTCAGATGTTGTTTAATCAGAATGCAGAAGAATTATTATCTCCTCTGATCTGGGAATTGTACTTCTATTCATGCATTATAAGATATGGATTTACAAAGTCTTGAAAAGGTTTTGTTCCTTTCTTTACAAAATGAAAATGGAATAGCTTACTTTAAAAAAATGCAAAAAACCAAGATGAACCCCTTCTGCTTATATGATTAGTTAGGATAGGAGGCATCATTTTCTGAGCACAATAATTAAATCCTAACAAATTACAAAATCTAAAATTGAAATCCAGGCCTCTGGTCAAAAATAGCAACATATTAAAATTTATTATGCAAGCACTTTAGTAAAATTACCAGTTTTTATTATTTTAGGAAAAAATTCAGGAAAATAAAACATGCTTATTACCTTCCGGGGTCAAATAATACATGTTCTTTGCAATTACAGCACTCTTATCTTGTGAATCCAAGAAAAAGAAAGTAGAGAAATCTTCAACATCAGCAGTTACTGAAAAAATTCATATTTAATGTTAAATGATGAATTAATAAAGTATTCAAAACTCAATAAGCATTTGTAGAACAGTATATGGAGGAACATTTTACCTGATGTAGATATTAAATTAAGGTACTGATATTTACTGTGCAAAATCAAAGAATTTATACGGGGCACAACATTATCCTTATCCATTAGAAAATCAATTGCCTCTGTTTGATCATTTAATGTGTCCTAAAATAACAAAAATATAATTTAGATGATATAAGCAATTTTTATATGCATACAGAGGTACTTCAAAAAGTTCATGAAATGATTTGTATTATCTTTTAACTATTTCTCCACAAACTTTTTGAAGTACCCTCATATGTTTTAAAATTATATAGATAATATATTTAATGATTACTTAATCTAAAATAAGACAAGTAATCTGCAATTCAGAATTACTGCTATAAATTTTCTTGTAAAAATTAGAATTTTCTTTCCATTTAAGCAATTTTTAGATATAATTATGCACAAGATAAATGTAATTAAGTATTATTTTTTAGATTACTACTAAATGATCAGGATAAAAATGTTTACCAAATTAACTTTTGCAATTAAAAGAAATTTTAAATAAAAAAATATTACTTATGAATATCATTATGTATTTTCTCATAAATGCTTACCTACCATTAAAACTTCTTGTTGTAAATATTCAGATGCATCCATCATTTTTTGAAGAACAGCCATTTCTAGTTCTTTAATATTCATTTCTTCATGGCTAAAGGGTTCACCATTATAAAGAGCTTGAGGCAAAGGACCCAGGCCAGTCATCTTATAAAAGTTTGCTCCAGCCTATTCAGTTAAAAAATATCAGAATGTTAAACAAAATATGACTATTTGAAAAAGAAATACATAAGAAAAAGAAAGTGACATTACCCCACATTTTTATATGTCATAGCAAAAAAGGTCTATTTTGCTAATTTTATCTGTCTTTTCCAAGCATTATTTACAGGAAAGTAATTTACCTACATACAGCAGGAGTCAAAACTTTTTCTGTAAAGGGCCAAACAGTAAATATTTTAGGCTTTATGGACTATCTAATCTCTGTTGCAACAACTCATCTCCGATGTCATAATGCAAAAATAGTCACGAACAACACATGAATGAATGAGCACGGCTGTGTCCCCAAAATACTTTATCTACAAAAACAAGCAGTGGGTGGGCTTGCTGACCCTTGACATAAACTATAACATTTACTCAAAGAAAAAACATTTATATGCATGAGAGACTTATTCATCCCTGTATTCATTTGTTCAACAACATTTATTGAATCACACCACTAAAGTCTTCCCTCAAGGGGCTTTCATATATTCAAACAAAATAGAGCCATATACAAGGTTCTACGGGGGTCCAGAAGAGAAGCATCTAACCAAGCCTGAGTATGCTGATAAAGGGACCAGAGAAGGCTTCTGTTAGGGAGTGACACTGAAAGCCTTAAGGGATGAATAAATATTTGTCAGGGAAATAAAGCGGAGAAAGACATTCCAGTTGAATTGACAGCATAGCAAGGACTGGAAGGGAAGTGAGAAAAGGGCATATTTAGGCAATGTCAAGTAAATTTTCTGTGTTTGTGGGGTGTGTTATGCAGGGAGAGTTGTCAGATAAGAGATCAGAGGGGTTTAGGTAGAGGCCAAATCATAAAGGTCCTCAACATTTGGATTTTATCTTCCGAGTGATGATCACTAAATAATTTATTCACTTGATATTCAACACTAAGTATTATAATTATTGCCAACATTCTCACAAATACTGTAGGAAGCTAAGTACTACTATTACATCCATTTCACAGATGATAAAGCAGATACGGAAAGACTAAATCACTTCCAATGTCACATAGCTGCTGTTTTGGAATCAAATTTGTACCCAGATCTGCCTGACCAAGAGTCTGAACTCTTAACCACTACACATACTATCTCTGTATTTATTGGGCACCTACTATGTATGTATCAGGCTTATAGACACATACATATGTGAACTCTATCCTAAAGAAACTTACAGTTTAAAGAGGGAGAGAAAGGGGCCGGCCTGGTGGCGCACTCGGTAGAGTGTGGCACTTGGGAGCGTGGCGGTGCTCCTGCTGAGGGTTTGGATCCCATATAGAGACCGGTCTGCTCACTGGTTGAGCGCGGTGCGGATGCGACACCGAGGGTTGCGATCCTGTTACCGGTCACGAATAAAAAAAAAGAAAAAAAAGAAAAAAAAGAAAAAAAAAAAAAGAGGGAGAGATGGATACATTCAAAACAAGTACCCAAAGGTACCAAGAAGGTCATGGTCGATTCCATATAGGAAGTGGGTTCAGTACAAATAATATGATCAGATTTGCTTACTTAAAAAAATAAAAACACAATGGCAACATTGTGAAGAAAGAGCATACACTGAAGACTGTGGGTTAGGGACTACTGGAGTAGCATGGGAAAGAAAAAACAAGGCCCAGAACGAAGATCAGTAGTAATGGGCAAGAGGAAAATGAGGCAGTTTCTGAAATATTTAACAAGTAAAATTGACGAAACTTGATGCCTATTGTTTGGGAAGGTGTGAGGGAAAGGGAGGAGTTTAGGATGACTATCAGGCTTCCGGCAAGGTGGTCTGGGTGAACAACGATGCTACTTACTCTCTAGGACAGTGCATAAAGAAAAAAAGGTTTGGGGTAACAAGAAAGATGGTGGGCTTGGTTTTAGATTCTTTTGACTGAAGATCCTTACACACAATCCACTAAGCAGTTGAATTCATGGGTTTGGACCTCAAGAAAGATATCCCTGTTACACATACAGGCCCTCTTCTGCTCTTACTCAATGATCTGCAATTAGGCAACCTTTCCATTCCAAAAGGTTTGGTAACCACAAGTAAGCCAATAACACCGAATTTTATACTTTTAGTCTACACCTGTCTTCTGAGCTATAGAATATAAATATATGAGGGCACTTCAAAAAGTTCATGGAAAGATTAGTATTATATTTTAATTCCATTTTTTCCATGAACTTTTTGAAGTACTCTCACATATCCGATCTCTTATTTCACATTTCCTCTGGAAGTCTCATAGGCACCTCAAATTGTATTTATGAAAAACCCTACTCCTGATCTTATCTCCCAATCTTTTTCTCCACCATCTTTCCATCTTGGCAATGGCATCATGACCCTCTCAGTTAGTTGTTTAACTGAACCCTGGGAGTCATCCTTGATAATTTCTAATCTCCTCTCTATCCTATCCAGTCCAACAGCAGGTCCTGGATAGTACTTCTCAAATAACTTCTGTCCAATTTTCTCTACCTCAACTTCTTCCTAAAGCCTTCTAGCACATCTCAAGTCTCTCACCTATACATTTTCCAATCCATATCACCACAAGCACTTTTTCCCACAATCCATTCTCAACAACAGAGGATGCTCTTTCAAAAAAAATGCCTGTCACTGTCACTTCACTGCAATACCTTTCAGGTTTTTTACTGTTGCCAAGGTCTTCTACTGTTCTGAATTTACAGTAAATACTGTTCATAAGACCCCGTGCAATGGGGCTCCTTGCTTACCTCTCCAGCCTCATCTCATGAACTTTATCCCATAACACAAACACAACACATGCCTGCAAATCTATACAGCAGCACCACCAGCTTCTCTTAGTTCGTTGAGATCTCAGGACCTCTTAACATTTTTCTCTGTCTGGATGGAATGTTAATCTCTTACCACCTTGTTTTCTTTTTTATTGAAACATAATTGATTATACATATTTGTGGTATATAGAGTTGAATAACAATACCTGTGTACGATGTGTGATGATCAAATCTGGATAATTAGTATATTCATCATTACAAAATGTAAACATTTGTGTTGAAGATATTCGATCTCCTCTCTTCTAGCCATTTGATAACAAGCAGTCAAGTAATGTTAATTATATGCTTATAGACTGTACATCAATAGAACTTATTTTTCCTAACTAGCTGTTCTGTGTCATCAATTTTGTCTAACTCTTCCTCCTGCTTCCTGACTCAGCTTAAATATCACTTTTTCAGAAAAGTATTCCTTATTCCTACTCTCTAGCATTCCTCTTTCATTCAACTGTGGGCTTAGCTGGATCACCCACCATAGTAGCTTCCTGTTGGGGGCCTGAAGCTCCACACCCCTTCTTGTGAGACCGCTTCTCCTTGACAATCTGCTCAGATGGCCATGCTTT